AGGGAAAGAACACTATAATAGACGTCACAGACTGTGTTTTTGTTTTGTTTTTTTTTTTACTTGCTGATTATATCAGTAGCATTCCCCATAACCATATCTGCTGCTATAAAGGCAAGAATGTTAAAAGTGAATCCTTGCTGAAAGGGTGCTGCTGTCTTCTTATTTTTAATGTGACTATGAAAGTGAACTATACAATCACATAAAACTACCTACTGATCAATTTTGTCAGAGTGGATCCGAAAACACAGCTCATAATCGGTACACGACAAGTTGAGGATGATCCAGTGAAACAGCTCTATATTTTTTAAGTTGGACGTTTGCAGAGTTGAATGTATATTTTTCAAACCTAGGTCTTTATATAGGCTTGGCTGGTATTTTGATCACTTGCCAATTTTTTTTGGTTTTATTTTTTGTTGTTGTTTTTAACTGGAAATCGTAGTGCCATCATCATTCATGCATTTGTTTTAATTAGGCTGTACATCTGTGGTCTTTATGAAGTTGTTGGACTGAATGAATCTTCATTTGAGATATTTTAAAAATGAAGTAGTTTTTGACTTGATTTTGATAAATTCATTTTTATAAATGGCTATAATTATGAATATTTTCAGAGCAAATTTGATAGTGTAAAACTTTTTGTGGAATATATTTGTTTACAAATGCTATCTTTTAATATTTGTTTTGATCTTCGCTGTATGTGCTAAGTACAAATAAAAATTTACACTCTTCTTGTTTTGGCTATCATCCATTTATTTCTACAAGATTTTGGAGGAGGGTGGATAGATGTGATACACCTTATTCTAGGACTTGGTTTGCCCTGGAATCTCTTAATGCTGTGCTGGATCCATGTTTTCAGGGCAGCCTGTAGCGGGGAGGAAACAATAAAGCAATTTTGCAATAAAGCAATTTTAAGGCCAGAGTAAGCCTTAGGTGGGTAATCACAGAGGCTGACTTCAGTTTCTTTAGACTATTTTTCCTCTGTTTCAGCATCATTTTATTTGAGAAAGGAAATCTTTGTTGGAGCCATTGGAACAAGAGACTAGTTTAGGTGCTGCTCTGAATGCCCTCTGGATGAGGTGGTTTTTTTTGAATACTCATGCTGAAGTCGAGCATTGTTGCTTTGTGATTCCCATACCTACGTTCATAATACAATATTGTTATTGTCATATAACTTCATTGGCTTCTGTGTGATTTGTTGTCAGTGTTCCTCCTTGTCATGTGTTATCTGTGGTTTGGATTTTATTGCTGAAGGTGCTCTGAGGGAGGGATCTCCCTCACAGATCGCAACAAAAGACAGCACAAGGCCTAACCAGTCCTTAAGTGTTAAAAAGCCTTGTGCAGAAAATTTGCACGCAGGTGAAGAGCAACCTGTGGGATTTGTGTGTTCTGCAGTGTGTGTGTGTCACCTGGAGGGAAGCACTGCTCTTTCTGCTTCTCTGGAGAAGGAGCTCACGCACTCTGCACTCCCCTTTCAATTTTTCATCCCTCATCCTCCTTGCTCTCTGCAGAAATCTGTACCAGCAAAAGCCACTGAGCGATCAGATAGGTAAGAAG